CTTTGGCTATTTAAGGGCTGTGTGGAAAATGCTTCACTTAACTTTGGGTTTTTCAAATTATAACTCAACAAGCTATTATATTTATATTAAAAAAACACTTTTTGATATCTCATAGCCATTGTGCATACTAAACTATGTGATAGAAACAAAAACTTCTTTCAAACTTAAGGATTTATTAGTCAGAAATCCTATGTTGGTTCCTTCTATTCCTTGCTTGTGGCACAGTAAGTTGCTTTTCTGCATAACAGTTGCAGAATCAACTTGAACTTAAGATCCTGCTTTTAAGGCAACCTTGTTTATTACCTCAGTCCTTAAGCACACAATTAACATTCCACACACCCCTTACTGTCATTGCACATTTTTCAATTGCTTCTTACATTCCTGATTGTGTCCAATGAGCTAAAATTTGCAAGTTATGACAAACTCCAAGCCTGCACAATTATACATTTCAACTTCTTAATTTTTAGCAGCATCACCAATGTAGAAGTAAAGCAGTTTGTGCAAACAGAACAAAACAAAGCAAAACAACAACAGTTCACAGCGCCTTTGTCTAGGCAAATGCACCATTTCACCACAGAAATGAATAACCTATATTTAAAGTAGAAATAATAAAATGACTCCCTGTAATGAGATGAGAATATTGGGCATATGTGGAAAAGATGCCTTAATAGGTAGCACTAGGCCACTCTGAGCCTGATGCTCCCATACAGACGACCCTCAATTTACAACCACAATTGAAGCTGGAATTCCTGTCATAACTTGAGTTGGACCTGAATTTACAACAATTTTTACAATGGTTATTAAGCGAATCTCACGATCGTTAAGCAAATCATGTGATTTGTTGAATGAATCCAGCTACCCCAGTGAGTGGCTTTTTTTGCTGGAAATTGGCAAGAAAGGTTGCAAATCAGGTCATACCGTTGCAGGACACAAAAACCAGTTGTAAATGCGAGCCAGTTGTTCAGTGCCCAAATTGCAATTCCATGACTATGAGGGTGTTACGATGGTTGTAAGCGCGAGCAAGTCACATTTTTTGAGGCCGTCAAAACTTTGAATCATTGTTAAGCAAATGGTTGTATGTCAAGGGCTACCCGTACTGATTCCTAATCTCATTGCCACCCTTTCTCACCCTATTCCAGGGGTGTCAAACTCAAGGCCTGCGGGCTGGATTCTGCCTGCGGTGTGATTAGATCTGGCCCACTGGGCTGCTCTGGAAATAGCGAAGGACCAGCCCGCAGGGCCTCTGCCAGCAAAAATGCAGCTTGGGAGGGCTCCGTTTTCACTGGCAGAGGGCTTCAGGAGGCTGTTGTGGCTGAAAATAGAGCCTGGGAAAGGATCCCCTCAACCCCGGCCGGGCCACCACAAGGGCCCCCTGACATAAGTGATGTCAAGCTGGCCATGCCCACCCCAGCCACGCCCCTCCCCAGCCCCTCGAGGTTTAACACAACCCTGATGCGTCCCTGAATGAAATCGAACTTATCACACCTGCCCTATTCCATCCCTGTCTGGATGCTTTGCTCTTCTTCCTTTTAGGAAGGACAGAACGGAGAAGAGGAGAGAGAAACGGGGTGAAACAGTATGTCCATAAGAAATTCCTTGCACGATAGCCCATTTATCTTTCTTTCCCCCCCAAAAAAGTCTCAGCATAGTTGGGGATTATAGACAACTCCTCCCATCCCAAATACTGCAGAAGTACAGGCCTTTTTAACCATAAAAAATATATATTTCCTACTCTGGATTTACTGAGAGACTTTTTGCTGGCCTATAACAATGACCTCATATAGGATTTCCTCAAATAAAAGGTGGGAGCGGATGGGAGACTTGATTTTGAAATGATCAGGTAGCAATGCTCGTATGCTCTGCATTTCGAAACCACGCTTCCTTGCTCATTGGCACGCATCCATTCTCTGTATTTTGCTGCTCCCTGCAGCTTGATTGCAGTTTTGGCTTAAGCAATGTCACAAAAGGTGTTTTAAAACAGCAGGCTGGAGTCTTAACTGCATGTTTTTTCCACATGGACCATACTTTAAAGAACACCGCCCCTCCCTCCAACCCTAGCAGGTGAATGCAGATAGGATGGAGTGGATTTATGAATGAAGATGAAGAAAAATAACAAGAGTGGAAAATGGACTGATCCGTTCACTTGTATTGATGAACCACTGTGGAAAGGGATGCTGGAAAGGGATGCATGTGGGAATCTGACAAGCACAGCTGCTCTTTTTTCGATTGCTTTGGCTTTTCACCTGCTTCAGATTCCGGTTGGATAAAATCAATTACAAAATATGTCCTTTGATGTAAACCAAATTCTAATTATTTTCTTCTTGAGAGGTTTTATTAAAAAGGGAAAAAAAGAGCCAAGACACAATGTAATTAGCAATCATAACATTCCTGTTAACAGCAGCTTAATGGAAATGAGAGATAATAGATTTCGTCAGCCTTGCAAATAGTGTAAATGAGTGTACCCGTGAACCTTCACCCGTGAACCTTCACCTGTTGTTAGAGCGGAGTCATTGTAGTTTATGGTAGCCCAAAAAAATCAAGAGGAGTCTGGTAGCATATTTTTTCCCCCAACTAATAAATCGTACTCAAAAACATACGTTTCGATTAGCTGCAGCTTGCTTTTTATGAAGGAAACTGCAACTCACCAAAGAGCTTATGCTTTTAAGGAGATAAAAAAGCTTATGCTTTAAAAGGAGATAAAAAAGCTTATGCTTTAAAAGGAGATACTAGATTTCTTTTCTACTTTTTAGGCTATCCAACGCAAATGGGGAAGATTACTGATTAAAAAATAAGGGGTGTGGGAAACAAATATGGACAAAAAGGAACAAAAAAGAAGCTCTAAAAGTCCCTGCTCTAAAAGTTGATGGTATTATTATCTTACCAAAGAATAGTTCTTTTAATTCAACTATGCTTTTGCCTTTTGGTTTTTGTAATTTTATCTTTTGGTTTTTCTTCTTTATGATTTTGAAGGGAACTTAATTCTTCTCTGATGAGACCCGACTCTACCAGTATTATCATCTGCCTGATATGGTTATAGGACTTCATAAAGAAGTAGCTATTGATGACAGGAGATGTATTTTTTCCCTAAACCTAGTTCCACCTGGCAAAGGCGCTGTCTGTATTACAAGCCCAATTTGATATAGTGGTTAAAGTGCTGGCCTAGAAACCAGGAGATTGTGAGTTCTAGTTCTACCTTAGACATGAAAATCAGCTGGTTTGACTTTGGGTCAGTCACTCTCTCTCAACCTAATCCACCTCACAGGGGGAAAAGAGAATTGTGTTTGCTGCCTTGAGGTACTTATAAAGTAATAAAGGAGGCATAAAAATATAATACATAAATAAAATGGAAAGAAAGCATTAAACCTTTTCTCTCGGAGTTCAGGAGGCTCCCAATAAAGAATAATATTTTCTGACAATTAAAGAAGAGTTGAAATATAAGTTATTTCTAATATAATAGCTGATGGAGCTCTAGGAATGGTAAGATATGTCAAGGCCATGGGTGTCAAACTTGAAACCCGTGGCCCAGATGTGTTACGCACTAGCCATGCCCATGCCTGGTTTAGTGAAGGAGGAAAAAGTAGCGATATGTCACATGATGCCATGAGTTTGACACCCCTGATCTAGCTATACATTGTGAATGAATAAGTATTCATTCTTAATAATGTTATGAGAACCATTTGGATGTAGTAGTTAAGGCACCATGCTAAAGACCCAGACACTGTGAGTCTTGCCTTAGGCACAAAACAGGCTGGGTGACCTTGGGCCAGACCATTTCTCTCAGCCCTAGAAAGGAAGCAATGCCAAACCACTTCCCAAAAAACTTTGCCAAAAAACTTTGCCAAGAAAACTGCAGGATAATTTTCACCAGTCCCAGAAACAACAAAGCTGCTCACAGTCTAAGTAGTACTAGGGAAAAATTTGTCCTGAAATATTTGCTTCATAAAATATTGAACATACCTAGAAGTACATAAAATCATATGTTGTAAATGAGCACTTGCAGTTTAAATACAATGATTGTGTATTGATAGAAACTAATGGATAATACAATGGGCTCTGATCGATACAGCTTTGTGGTTACATGGAAATGATCAATAACTTTCATAAATTAGGAAATACAATGTCAACCTGAGATCTTGTTGTGGCTTCTAGCACTCCATTTGTAACCCCAAGACTCCCAAAATAGGCACTTCAAAAATGCAGTGGTGAGAGTGGATTAATTTTCAATAATATTCTGTGATCAAAATTCTAAAATAAGGATAGGGATGAAGATGAAGTCCTTGGTGATGGAGAACAGCAACCTAGCCCACCCTTAACTTCCCTCAAATCCCCAGAATAGTAAAAGAACCCTGTTCTTTGAAACACATCCATGTTTTTGGAAGGCTTTGGCTGAATTGCTGACTTGTTGAAATGTTAAGCTTCAGTCTCTGACTTGGAAAAGGTTTCCTGCCTCTGCCTTAGGATAAAGACATTGAGTAATTATAGTGTGATGACACTCAGCATGTTCCATTGGCTTCTTCATACATGCAGCTTATAAATTGTTTTACAGTTATGAAATTACCCATTTCTGCTGTAAAATTCTCTACCATAGAACTGATTCTGTGAGCTTTATAGAGCAAAGGATCTTCTTTCTTTCCATCAAGTGAGTGATTTATGAAATTAGTTAATGAATTAGAGTTTCCTTTAAAGAGTCTTCGTCATTTTGGTCTATTGAGAATCTTCTGTTAAGAGTCCCAAAGTTCCCAATGAACAGGATTTAACATTAAATGAATATATTTTAATATGTGCTTTAGCTACCTCAACTTGGAAAGTTTGTTATTCAAAATACGCCATGCTTTAAAGACAAGCCTGGAAAGAAAGATTAAATAAGAAATGACCTCATGCCAAAGAGGACAAAACACATCACTGTTTCCATTTAGGAGAAGAGTAGGCGCAATATTGCTAATGGAATTAAGTGGTTGCCTTTTTCTTTTGCTCTCTATTTATTTATTTGGTTTTTGCAGGTAGCCATGGAGGTAGTGTTCTTCTCCCACAGAGCATCAATGAATTCCCGGAATACGGGTCTGTAGAAGCCCAGACGCTGGAGAAATCATCTGAGATTCATGGGGAAGACATAACAAGTGCTTTGGATGGACATCTGAGTGATCAGATGCTCTGTGAACCTTATGAAAATGGCAGTTCTGGTGATGGAATGGAAACAGCTTCTGAAACGTTGCAAAGCCTGTCCAAAATGGAAGAACAGTCTCAGCGTCTTGACAGACAGAGTGAGGTTTCTCAAGATTTAGAATCAGAAAAGGCCCAGGATGAAGGCAGTAAAGTTCCTGATTCAGAGATGCAAATGGAAAGTGAGAGAAGGCCTGGGACAGAAGTTGAAGAGGCAGCCAGGGAGAAGGTTCTTGCCGGCCAGGAAAAGCCTTCAGAAATGCCTCTTCCACCTGAGCTAATGGCAGAGAGGAAATTGTACTGGATCACAGAGGAAGACTCTATGATCTTAACCATGGAAGTTCAGCCTGCGACCTTGCCAACTTCCGGTGGTGGAACTGAGGAAGCCCAGAAAATATGCGAAAGGAGTAGTCACATGCCTTTGGCTGGCCCAAAGGATGAAAACCTGGGCATTGATGGTGGCGTCGGAGGTGCCTGGGCAGAATTTGAGCGGGAGTTTGCCATGGATGATACAGAAAAAGCAGAACTGTTCCCCGAGAGGAGGATATCAAAAGAGACAGCAGTGAACAAACATGTGGAATTTCAAGGGGTGGAAATTCTTTGGATACAAAAAGCCGGGGAACAGAAAGAAAAGGGGCACTCTGAAACAGAGAGTGTAGAAAGGAGAACTTTCTCCAACTTGTCAATCCATCAGACATCATACATTCCTTCAACAGGATTAATTGGCTTGCCCGATCGCCCTTGGAATGTATCCTGGAAGAACCTCAAATCTCTGACAACCTCAACAAAAGGTGAAGAAGGCGAAGTCTCTGGAACGAAAGAAAAGGATTGGGCTCAGGAAGGAAAATCTGGGCCAGGCGAGGAAAGGTAACAACAATTACTAGTATTAATGTTTAATGCAGAGGCAGCAGAGAACATATTGATGACATTGATTTCTTTAATCATTTAAGAATTTGCTGATATGTGATTCCATCATTGTTCTGGGGTGGTGGGGGGACAGAGGCATGGCTGCTTTAATATTTCAAAGGGGTGTTCCACACCAAGTACGCAAAGTGGAGCAAAGTACTATTTATAGCAATGGCACATAAACTTCAACGCCTTTATTGTCATTGTACATCATGTATACAACGAAATTAGCTTAGCCTCAACTGGTGCAATCCATACAAGAATACAAGACAACATGGATAATATAAAGAATAATCCTTATGCAAATAGTCAGGGGAAAAAAACTAATCATACGTTTCCATATGTCATATTCTGTGCAACATGTATAATACTCTGGTGTATGATCTTATATCTATATATCTATATCTATATCTCTATATCTATCTATCTATCTGTCTGTCTGTCTGTCTGTCTGTCTGTCTGTCTGTCTGTATATATATATAGCTTGCACACTACACTGGCACCAGTGAAATAAACAACAGTAATCAGAAAATCACATCATATAAAGCCTTTTCACAACTGTAGTCAGATCAGAAACCAGAGATCTAGTTTACCCTGGTTGGAAACCAGAGATACAGTTGTGTAAAACAAGTGCAATGGCTGAGCCCCTATGGTGGAGGGCATTGCACAATTTCTATGGGGTCCTGCTAGTAACTTTCAAGTGAAGAACTTTCCATAAAATCACATGCTGTAGGAAAGTTTAATATTGAACCTTAGTTGATTAGATTCTTATAAATCTTCCTAACTGCAACTGAACCTACGCTGCTGATTCCTTGCGCCTGACAATAATCTAGTCAACAAACGGTCAGTATTAAATTGGCGTCAAATAAGGGTCAGCAGAATTCAAGAGAGGTTGGACTTAGACTAGTTGTAGGGGTCCTTGGCTGATGACTTGCTTAATTCCTCCCCCTGTTCTTCTACATATTCATGAGATGGATACATGGAGGAGGGGAATATTTTGTAATGTGAAGACCCTGCAAGTTTGAAGACCTTACCATGAGTGAGAGAACTCGCATAGGGGACCAGCTGATCAAGTGAACTGCAAACTTCTATAAGCCTTATTTTTTAAAAAAATGTACATAGGAGCAGTTCAAGTATTTTTTTACTAGTCTATTCCCAGTAGAGTTCTTAAAAGGATTTGGGAGTTGGCAGTTGCTCATCACAGCAGCCTCTTAAGCCAACCATTAGAGAATCAATATTTGTAGTTATTTTGATTAGGAGGATGAATATGTAGCACATCACCTTCATATTTAACCATCGCAGTAATTTTCACATTATTTGGTGAAATTCCCTCTCCGATTCTTCCCTATTTAAGCAAATCTTGTTTTTTTTGAAAAAAACAAAATGTGTTTGCACCATGTGCTGAAGTGTTAGGATACTTTGTGCATTTAAAAACAAGTACTGATAGTCCTCGATCTACAACAATTCATTTAGTGACCATTCTGAAAAAGGGACTTATGACTGTTTTTCACTTATGCTGTTGTAGCATCCCCACGGTCAAATGATCAAAATTCAGATGCTTGGCAAGTGGTTCATATTTATAATGGTTGCAGTGTTGCAATGTCCCAGGGTTAAGGGATCAGCTTTTGTGACCTTCTGATAGTCTGAGAAATCTAGATTGACTTAATAACCATGTTACTAACTTAACAAATGCAATGATACACTTAACAACTGTGGCAAGAAAAGTCATAAAATGGGACAAACTCACTTAAATGTTTCACTTTGCGGCATACATTTTGAGTTCAATTATGGTCATAAGGACTACTTGTGCTGTAATTCCTTTTGCATATTTTTTTTTCCCGAACACTGGTTTTGCTTTGTTTTATTTTTAAATTAATAATTTGATCAACACATTTAAAGAACAGTAAATTGCCACATAAGAAAAAAAAAGGAAAAGAGAAGACCAAGTGGTCGAAGAATAATAATAATAAAATATCAATAAATGGAGGATTTCCATTTATTATAAAGTTTAAATTAATTATTTAATTAAATGTATAGAACTAGGTTTATTATATCAGTTTAACTAAAAAAATCTCTGTAAAACTCTAAACATTAATGTTAACATTGATATCACCGTCATTTGTTAATTTTTTAAAAAAATACTGTAATTGCATATAATCATGTAAAAAAAGGAAAGGAAAAAACAAAATAATTTTAACAAGGAGAAAGATCAGTAGAAACAATATAATACTGTTTCAAATTGTCTCCCAATGTATCCATCTAACAATTGGACCATCATATTGAAATTGCTTTTAATAACTGTTTTTATGTCTATTATTTCCCCCTCAAAAGCCATACTCTCTGAGTTTATCTTGTAGACTGACATCTAGAGTGCCATTCTTGCTTAAATTTAGTCAAACTTTTGTGTTGTGCTTTTGCTTTGAAAATCCTTGGGTTCTTCTATCATAGCAACAGTAAACCTTGAAGGAGCAAAATGCAGCAATTTTTTTTTTAATCCAATGCCAGCCACAGGATGCTGTTTGAAATGCTAAATACAAGTGCTGTTGCTCCTTTTCAATTCTTTTTGGCTGTTCTGGCTGTTTGGCACAGATCAAAATGGTCAGTCGTGGGATTACTGTCAGCAGATTGGGAAATTGAGAAGTCAAGGAGGAAACTAATATGATGATCATCCAATAATGTATGGGCAAGGGTTTCCATGCATGACTTTTGAGACAACTCAGAGAATCTATGTGCTGAAGCATGTCTATATTAGAAGCATTTTAGTTTAACTTTGGCCAAGTTGTTGCTCTTTCAATATATTGGAGAACAACTCACATTTTCCCATCTAGTATAGCCGGCAGCATTGGCTGGGAATGATAAACAATCATCTAACAAAATCCCAGCTGAGACAAGTCTTGATTTGGATGCTAGCTTGATACTTACTGGCATCTTAGCATTGCTTGAGCACTCCCTGGAGTTGTTTGTTTGTTTACTTACATTTATTTATTCTTTGTTATTTTTATAAATAACTCAAGACAGTGAACACATACAAGAAAGGAGGCACTCCTTCCTCTTCCTGTTTTTCTCCACAACTATAACAACCCTGTGAGGTGATTTGGGCAGAGAAAGTGGCCTAAAGTCACCTAGCCAGGCTTTGAGATCTTAGGTGGGACTAGAACTCACAGTCTCCTGCCTTCTAGCCTGGTGCCTTAACCATTAGACCAAATTGTGTCAGGAAAATTATGTATGCTTACTGCATCTATAGTTATAAAGACAGCTAGGTATCTAAATGGGCAACCCTACCTCCTATTGAAGGCTTTACAGACAATAGGCAAGGTTTGTAGGTTCCAAGAATTACTCTGCAAATCTCTCCTTCCACTTTTTCTCAAATGATTTCCCCAAACATCTGAATATAGCAGCTTCTCTTTCTCAGCTTTTCTTCCTGTTCATCTGCTCCCTCCCTAGAATTTTTCTGGTGCACATTTTGATTTGCCAAGCTACACAGCCTGCCATTTAGGTTGGTAGAGGATTTGAATTTTAAAAGATGTCTGCTTTTTGAAATTCCCAAGATTATCCATAAGCGAATAGACAAAAAGAAAAGAAAAAGAGACAGGCAAGTCCTTGGACACAGGCATGTGTGTTTGTATTTAGATTTAAACTTGCATTTGCCTCAGGGAGTTTAAGACAGGAAAACGACTGTTTCGGTCTTCCTCAAAGGGTGCATATGTTGCATGTGAGCATTGTTTGTGAGGGAGAAAATTCTAAGGTTACCTCAAGATAACTTCATGAAGTGTTCTTTAGTCCATTCGGTGCTGTACAAGTAGTCTTCAACGTACAACGAGTCATTCAGAGATACAATACATCCCCCCAAAAGTATTTACAATCTGGATTTAAAGCTCTGGCAGCTGCCCCCTCTGTGATCAGGTAATTAGATGATTTTGAATGCTTGGCAACCAGTCCGCGTTTAAAGCAGTTTGCAGTGTGGCACAGTCATACGACCACGATTTACAACATTTACTTCTGGTTTATGGCAAAAAAAAAAATCCATTGTGGACAAGGGGGTTCATTTAATGACCACCACATTCACTTAACAACTGCCATAAGAAAGTCCTAAAATCAGGACTGTCACATGATAATCCGCTTAATGAATGACATGGCTTAAAGGCTGTAATTCTGTGGTCAATTACAGTCATAAGCCAAAGACTACGTGTATCCACTATATATCCACGATATTCTGCATCATCTCAATTGGGGACACATTTGGAATGTTCGAAACATATTATGGGCTTTCTCCTAAAATGATTGTTGCGTGGAAAGGCTGGTCCATTCACAAAAGGGATGTCATTGGGGAGACAACAAATTGCAAAGCACTGACTTCCCAGAATATTACTTACAACCTGTTTTTTGTCTCTTCCACACAGGATGCTCTCTGCTGTTCATACTTTATGTTTGGTTTAAGTGTACTTCCAAACCTTGAGCTGTAGCTGTGCATCACTATTATTTTTTAATAATATTTCTGGGGCATTTTGAGCACTTCAAAGTTTTATAAATGAAGATGATGCTAAAGGCATCGTATCAGCCTCACAGCATGCCAGTGTGCAATTTTTTAAAAGAATTTTTTTTTTTTTGCAGAAATGTAAAAACACAAGTGGATAGAGAACTTAGCTTGTGCCAAGGGAGGGTTTTATGGTCACTTAGACTTTGTCTTCATTTGGCTTTAATTTCAGAATTAGGCAATCTATAGTCTTTTTTCCCCCAATCTATAGTTTTTTTCCTCTTTCAACTCCCACAATTCTTTTCTTGGTCTATGCTTCTAGTACCCAGATCTGATGGAAATTGGTTTAGAGAGCTGAATAATATCAAGCTTCCTATAGAAAAACAAAAAAACATTATTCCGGAACAAGAATAATAAATCTCCATTATATACTTAGTGCATGTGCATATTAAGGAGTTCCCTTAATGAAGTGTTTCCAGTTTTTACTCCGCTCAAGCTCTCTTCTTTCCTAAGATAAACTGTTTTGCTGCTCCAAGAAGCAGACAGGGTCAGTTTATTCTTATAATATGAATGATTTATTAGTATGTTCTTTAATCACAGTTTGTATAAGTAGGTTTTAATTTACATGGTAAGTAAACAATTGTATAAACAAAATGCAGAAATGAGTAATGTGATAAATTTAATTGTAAACACAACAGCAGGAGTCTTGACTGTAATGCACCTTAGTTAAATTGTTCTAATAACTAGCCTTCTTGATGCCATAGCAACTGCTTTATCAGTATTAAGTGGGCTCTGCTATGACTAAGCATGGGTTGGCCTTTCTTTTCAAAATGAGGGATGTGGATTATACTGCTTACCATCATGGAATATCTCAGAGTAATTTTCATTTGACCTAATAATTAAACGGATGAAAGGATTTTTCAAGTCACTTAACCCAATAACCATTCATAGTTGGTGTAAGGATAATAATTTGATACACATATAAAACAGGGCAAAGATTTCCTTAACATAACTCTCAGCCACAGGGTTAGATTCAAAATGAATACAACTTTATTTCATGCTGCCTCTAAACAAGAATCTGAACTACAAATGGTCAAGGCAAATTGGTGATAGATAAGAGTCAACAGAATTCAAGGAAGGATGGATTTAGAGTTCTGTGGTTGTGAAGAGACTCTAAACTGATGATGCACTTGACCCCTCCCTCAGACTCAATCTGGTCATCTCCTACAACATGGGGGTCAAATTTGTGGCATCACGTTGCCATCACATGATGTTTCATGATGTTTTTCCCATTCGCGGAGCTTGGGTGGGCGTGGCCTGCACATGACACATTCAGACCACGGGCCGCCAGTTTGATACCCCTGTCCTACAAAAATTGAACCATAGTTGGCTGGGTTGATGAATAGTACATCATGAACCAAAGTGTATTCAATTATGGCTTAGTATGACTTCTGAACTCAGTCTGAGGTCATACACATTATGTCATGGTATTTCTGAATAAACCATAAGCAGTCAAGATAAACTTGTTAGTTTTAGCTTCATGTGTGAATCACGCCAATGATTAAACTTCAGTTAAAATATTAGAGGGAAAAAAACGAGGTATTTCCAGTGGTCTTAGTTGTGATGCAGTTTAATATTGGCACTCATGATGGTTTTATTTAGAATGTCTAAGAACCTCTTGAATATCATTAGTTAACTAGTTTTGAATCATATATTTAAAAGGAAACCTTTTTTCTTTAAAGTACTATAAATAACTGAACAGTCCAAGGCCAATTAAACATTTAGGCCAATCACCAGAGAGGAGGAATGAAAGAATGAGGGCACATTCTTGTGTCTGTTTTCAAAGACCTCTTTTTGATTTTTTAAAGAATGATTAAGAAATTGAAAGTGTTATGTCACGGTGCAGGGGCTTAATGCTTTTAGAGATTTTAAAATTCCACAAGCTGTATCTTATGGTCTCTGTGAGGTAAATTGCAGCTTGGGGAAGACATGTGGATGGATTAAAAGATATTAACTTTACATTTGCACACACTCTCATGCCTTAGCTCGATTGCTGATGGTGCTAATTTGGAAAGGACCAAATAGTTTGGTTAGCCAAGATTTAGGACTTTCTCAAACATGACAAGAATTCTTCTCTGTGATGTCCATTGCACGTTGTCACGATCAAATCGATTCAGAAGCAGAACAGATCCTGTTTTAGTTTTTTAATGCTCTAGTTTCTGTTTTTTTAAATTGGTTTATAATATAAAATAGAATAATACAAAAGAAAATAGTAGGAAAATGGGGCGGGGGGGAGGAGAAGAGAAAGGAAAAATGTAGGGAAAGGGAGAAAAATTAAAAAAAGGGGGTTGATTCCCAACTCCTTTTTGGTGCAGTAAAATAAGATAATAGCATCAAACCTCAGCTTTTTAGTTTTTATACAATAGTCTAAACTAGCCACAAACTTATTTAATTGATAAAACCCCTAATCAAAGTTTCATTTCCCCCCTTCCACTTCAAGCACAAAGTTCAGAATCGGTTTCCAAGTAGAAACAAAATTGTGTTCTTTTCTTTAACCAAAGTAGTCAATTTGGCCATCTCTGCTAACTCCATGAACTTTTGCAGCCATTCATCCATTGTCGGAATCAAATTGTCATTCCATTTTTATGTATAAAGTAATTTTGCTGCCATCAACGTATACAGGTAGTCCTCGACTTATGACCAAAATTGAACCCAAAATTTGTTAAGTGAGTTTTCTCCCATTTTACGACATTTCCTGCCCAAGTTGTTAAATGAATGCAGTTGATAAGTTAGTGACCTGGTTGATAAGTGAACCTGGTTTCCCCATTGACTTTGCTTGTCAGACGGTTGCAAAAAGGGATCATATGACCATGGGACGCTGCAACGGTCATAAGTGTGAACCAGTTGGCAAGAATCTGAATTTTGATTGTGTGATCATGGGTCTTTTTCCATTAAACCCAAAAGAAAAGTTTCTGGTTTCATCGTTATATTCAGTTTGAGAATCTTCTGTATTAAGATGTGAAGCCTACTCCAATATTCCTTTGCTTTGTCACATGTCCATGATAAATGATAAAAGATCCTGGAATAATCCCAGTCTATTCAGAAGCAGAACAGATCCTGTGTTAGTTTTTTAATACTTTTTAAGTCCTGTTTCAATCCTACCAAAGGAATAGCGTTGTCCCTGTGTGGAGCAAAGCAGCAAGATATGTGCATGTGTGTATATATAATATTAATAGTGATAATGTAAAAACTATTCAGCACAGAAACACCATTATGCTTTCTTGAGTCTTTTTGAGTGTAAATCCATGAGAATACATTAATTGTAGAATATAAGAAAAAGAAGACTAACATTTATCTTCCAGGCCTCCAAATACATATATATTCTCTCTCTAGTACTAATCTTTCCTGTTGTTGCTTTTTCTAAAAAATAATTGCCTGAGCTGTTCGAAGAAAAGATTTAGCAGCTCCAGAATCTCAGAAAAGTAATATAAAATAGAGATACACAATGCGCCTTTCCCCCCCACCCCCCGTTGAACACAATGAGCTGATGCTTCTTAGCACGCATCATCCCATCGCGGGGACTTTTGTTTCTACTCCATCCTGGGTCTGAATGTGTGGGAGGGGGATGGGAAGTCACAGAGAGAAAGACAAAAGTGTCTGTTTTCCATCAAGACAATTGTAACCAGACATTAAACGCTGGTACGTAACGATCAAAAGGAATGGCTGTTTGTATGTGTCTGCATGAAACCCACCAGTTAGGAGAAAATGTGAGCATGCCCACATGTAGGCTTATAAAGTAAACTAAAGCACTTTAAAAAAACAACCCAATTTTTGATTCCTAGGCTAATGGAGGAGGAAGAAGGTCTCAGTGGGAGAATGGAAGATGTCCTTGGGCAACTCTCTGAAATCTCAACAGATGTGTACAGCTCCCAGTTTGAAAGCATTCTGGACAATGCATCTTTATATTACAGTGCCGAATCACTAGAAACGTTATATTCTGAGCCTGACAGCTACTTCAGCTTTGAAATGCCACTCACTCCAATGATCCAGCAACGTATCAAAGAAGACGCTCAGTTTTTAGAAAGGACTCCCGGAGAGGTGATGAGAAAGGACTCTTGCAATGGAGTCGCCAATGGACACGGAGACGTTAAAGAGTCAGACCTTGCTGCAGCTTGTCCTTCGGAAAGGTAACAAAAGCAGATTGTCTTCACAATATTTGTGGCTTGGGTTGCGTCTTGCTGGTGATAATGAGTTGCTCATTCATCCTCCTCCTCCCCCCCACACCCTTTCCTATGAATTTCTTTTTAGGATTGCAACTTTTTAAAACATGAAGAGAATGCTTGCTCCTCAGTCTGCCAGTTTCTGATTTTGTTGATTTTGTTCCCATTTGTGACTCTGTTTGCAGTGTGAAATGGTGTTCAAAAGCCCTGTAGAGAATGCTTAATCCAACAGCCAAATATGACATTTCAATATGAGTGCTGTTCTTTGGGTATGTTACTTTTTCTAAAAAAAAAAAAAAAAAGGACGGCAGTGGGGTGAAATGGAAAGGATTAACCTTTATGTGACTTGATAATACCCTGTTTCTCCAACAATACGGCCTCCCCCAATAGGAAGTCCCAGCATGTTTTATAGGCATGAAATGAAATTAAGCCCCTCTCCCCAAATTAAGGCCTATATTAAAACATGTGAAATGGGGGGTGGGTGGGTGGGGCTTGCCATTAGGAAGTACTTTTGTTGCACACCCGGATATGGTGCTGCCTGCGTTGACCCCGATACAAAGTGCCCCACCAGTGCCGAGGTCAACATCCAAGCCGTCGCCACCCACCCACCCGAAAATGCAAGGGGGGGGGATTTAAGTCACCCCCAAAAGACGGCCTTGCCGTCTTTTCGGGGCTCAAAAAAAAATGGAGTACAGACGCGGTGTAGTTATATGATAATCCTAGTATTACTAATTTTACAAAATTGTAGTGACTGTAGTGACTTCCCTTGTGTCATTCTTGGAGTGTGTAGTAGTTGTGAAATAGTATTGTGCTTTTATTGTGCTGTATCTTGGTTTTGTTTGAGGAATTGGTGTGCTTTTTGAAAAAAAGGCATTTTTATTTCTGTTGAGGATATATAGCTAAAATGTTATGGTCCTGTCATACTAGGTACCTAAAGGGTGTAGAGCTAGAAAGTGAATAACACTATATTACTAGTAAATATATTTGAGACAACCTTTGCAGCTTCCACATAACAATGATAAAGAAGCTGAAAAGTTTGGCTCACGTAGCATACTAGAAGTGTATTTTAAGATCAAAATGTGCTACCTCTGCTCTCTAAGCTCACAGAAATTTTCCACAGATGGGAAAGATGCTGCAAAATGTGATTATGTGGGCAGTGGCAGGTTGGAAATTTCTAGAATCATTGGGTTTTGGAGGGGACTATGGAGGCCATCTAGTCCAACCTCTTGCCCAGTTCAGGTATCCTAATACCATCCTGAACAAATTGTTATGCGGGTTTAAAAAAATTTTTTTTTCCAGTGATGGAGCTCTTGTGATTTCAGGAAAGGAGCTATTCAGCTTTTTAATAGCTCTCATGGGAAATTCTTAATTCAAATTTGAATTTATTAAGCTTCGGTTAATTGGTTCTTGTATATCCCCCTCCCCATCTGCTGTAATATCCCTTCATCTATTAGAAGAGTGCTATCATGTCTTCCCCTCAGTCTTCTTTTCTTTAAGCTGAATATACCAAGTTCCTTTGATCTCTTTTGATATGTTTAGCCTTCCAGCATTTTATCGTCCTTAACACTCTTCTCTGAACTCTTTCCAATTTCTCAGTGTCCTTCTTGTATTGTGGTGATGTCAACCTTGTGAGGTAATCCAGTCAGGAAGCACTCTCAGATGAACTAGTACTACTATATTGTAAGGTTACATTAACAGTATTTTACAAACTGCCTTTACTGCCTAAGCAACTAGGGAGGGTTCTTTCTCAGGCATTTGCCATGTCCAAATTCCTTCTATCGCTGAGTTGCTTCTTATCAGACTGCTTCCCTGGCTATGGCCCTTCCTTTTTTCCCCCAAGGTCATTCCCACATACCATTAGAGTTTATCAATAAACACAGTTTGAAGGTTGAGCAGTGCAGTGTAGAGCAGTGCTATCACTTCCCATGATTTTGACATTACAAGTGGTCCTTGATTTAAAACAATTCCTTTAGTGATCACTCAAAGTTACAACAACACTGAAAAAAGTGACTTATGGCTGCTTTTCATGCTTATGACCATTGCAGCCTCCCCATGGTCACATGATCAAAATTCAGACACCTGGCAACCGGTTCCTTCCTATATATGATGGTTGTAGTGTCCTGGGGTCATGTGATTAGCTTTTGTGACCTTACAAGCAGTCAAGGGGGAACATACAATTGCTTAACATCCGTGTTACTAACTTACCGACTGCAGTGATTCACTTAACAACGGTGGCAAGGAAGGTCGTAAAATGGGACAAAGTTCACTTAAAGACTATCTCACTTAGCAACATAAATTTTGGGCTCCATTGTGGTTGTAAGTCAACAACTACTTCATATCTCTGTTGATGAAGCTTGAACTGCATTAGCTTTCTTGGCAGCTGGGGCACATTGCTAGCTCACCTTAATCCTGTGATCTATCAATACTTCCAGATCTTTCTGCCAAGAACTATTGCTAAGCCAGGTATCACCTATTTTGTACCTGTGCATCTGGTTTTTCCTGCTTAAGTGTGGGACCTTGCATTTTTCACCACTGAACAACATGCTGTTGGAAGGGACCCATCCAAGTCTCTCTTCCCCCCCACCCCCGCATATTTTTTTCCATGAAGCCTTTTGCTTGAACACCTGCAGAAAACAGAATTTGAATGTGTGCAACTTCATTCCTTGGCTTTGTCCTTTTCCATATCCTTTAACGCTATCTTTTACATTAAAGTTCTTAAAAAGAAACCAGTCTTCCATTCCTGGTCTGTATTTTACGTGGCAAAATGCAAATCATTTTCAATATAAACATCTTGGCAAGTATTCATAGCTGATGTGTCAGCTATGGGTGCCTCCCAGCAAATTACTGGTACTGTACATGAAACAAGGCACAGACTTGGGATTTTCTCTTTCACATTGACTTTAAGTTAGATGTCTGAAGAGGAGATCTTGCTAAGGTAAGAGACAAGCTTCCTAAAAACCTATTCATGAGAGGAATAAACCTTAATTTTAGTTTAGGAAATCCCCAAATTGCCTTGAATTATAAAGTTTGGAACTTTTAGAAAATGTCGGCTTTTATAATCTGTCTTTGCTTCATTTTTTTTTTCATTTCTTTCAACATTTATCATTGCTGTTAGAATGTCTTTTCAGCCATGTTTAGTCATCAAGCTGATGTTTTCTGTGCCCAGAAGCTAACCAAAGTTGGGCCTGATTGGTACTTGAATGAGAGATCATGAGGAATGTCGACATTGTAGGCTGGGCTGGGGAAAAAAAGCATGTGAAAGAAGGCAGCAGCGTTAGATCACTTTTGTGCTGTTGGAAGAAAAGAGTATGATGATATGAACGTTGATGCCAGGCAGAAACTGAATTTAACTAAAAATCAGATTTAATATGAGGAGGTTACAAAAGATGGCAGTTACCTAATTGACTGTCAAAAACTAGGCAGTATTTGATGTAATTACGGCTAGTTGAGACAATTTAAGCAATCTCAAGGTTGTAAACTAGTCTGGTAATTTGGGAAAAAATGCCTTTTGGAATAAAGTATTGTAGTGGCAATCTACTTTGGTATTCTTGCAAGAAAATACTGATCATTCAACTTCAACTCAAAGGAGACTAAATATTGCTTGGATGAAGCATGTACACCTTCAGTCGCTCTGCAATATACTGCTTCAAAATACGAGACTTTTAAGAACAAGTCTTATGTCCTAAATAAAATATGAGCAAGAATCCAAAGTGTTTAACTCAGGCATGTTAAGTGTCAGCAATGGACCATTTTTGTAGTGCATTTCATGACAGATGGAAAGCCATGGCTGAACTAATCTTCTCTAAGGAAAATGGCGAACAGATTTAGTTATAAACTGGAGCATAAAGCTAAATATATCTCCTGCTGTTCCCATTTAATGTGAACGTACTTTTCGGCTTGGCTGTTGTCGCTATTTGGTAATGTGCTTCTGCTGAGATTTTGTTTTTAAAGTACACATAAACAAATCTGCTATTATAGCTTTTGTTTTGTTTTGAAGGGTTTAGGATTTTGTGATCTCTGGTCTTAGTAATGAATATCTAAAGTAATAGCAACCTTTGTTGTTGTTGTTAAAAGCCTGCCATCCTGATAAGGCAGATTAGGGGTGGAAGAGGGATTTGAAAGATTCCTAATGTGAAATTATTTCATTTCAGTGGGTAGGTCTCCCTAATGTTGAGGTCTGGATTTAAAGAAGATCAGGAGCCATGGATAGAATAGAATAACAGAGTTGGAAGGGACCTTGGAGGTCTGCTAGTCCAACCCCCTGCTTAGGCAGGAAACCCTATATCCAATCTCTTCTTAAAAACTTCCAGTGTTGGAGCATTCACAACTTCTGGAGGCAGGTTGTAACACTGACTAATTGTTCTAACTGTCAGAAAATTTCTCCTTAGTTCTAGGTTGCTTTTCTCCTTGATTAGTTTCCACCCATTGCTTCGTGTCCTACCCTCAGGTGCTTTGGAAAATAGGTCTTGTCCCACTAAAGTAGACCTCCAAAGAGATGCTTTATGTTTTCTTGTGAACAGCAAAACATTTGTCTACGTGTTACAATTGCCTGAGGCAAGCAATCCTTAAAAAAAATCACATACAGACTGGAATATGTTTACAAAGGACCTAAAAGATTGCCACAGAATAAAATAAAAATAAAAATGGTGGAACATTTAAAAGATTTTCCTTTGAATCAGATAGCAGAGGCTGAATTAAATTTGTCTAGAATAGCCGTTTCTTCCCATGCTTTTATTTCTCTGGACGTGTATAATTCAACTGCATTACAGTTCTAAATTCAGAAACTTTTCAGACAGCCTCCCAGACAGCTGATCCCATTTAAAGATTGGCAAATAAAAGGAAAAAAAATTGGATTGTGCAACTATAGATGAACAATTCCTTGGTCTAGCCTGCTTTGAGTCCAAGAAATGCTATCGTGACAGCAAAATATAAAATCTGGAAATGCATTATTTTGGAAATCTATTAAG